CCCCAAAACCCCAAAACCCCAAAACCCCAAAACCCCTTTAAAATCTTTGATTGCTGAAGATATAATTTTTACAAAATTCCATGGACGCTTTGACATGCAAAATATGACTGAATGAGTATGATAGAATTGATTTTACTCCGGTCAATTTACCTGATTGAGGGCACTCTCTTTGTAGGACCTGAGAGGTTGCACTGAGAATGAGAAATCCTATCAATAGCAAGTGCCCATTTTGAAAAGTAAGTCATTTCCTCTGATCTTTCAAAGAAAGTGATTATGTGTGAACCTGTTCCAAACTATGCGCTTTTGGATGTCATCGACTCGATTCAACCTCCAGAAGAGTTAATAACTATCAAAATAGGGCGTGTACCTCATTTAATAGATGTTGTGTCTCTCAAAGACCTTTACCTGAATAAATTTCCCAGTGGGAAAAATATTGAGAAGGTTACTTTTGAAGATGATCCGCATTCTTCTTTCTTCTGCTCTCCTGAGCCATGAGAAGAGAAAATAGTCACAATTGAGTACAAATCTGAGAATAAAAACGAAGTCATTAAATCTTTGGATGGAAAAATATTTTCAATTTTTAACGAAGACATGCATCTGATGTTGAACGTGTGTAGCACTGAAAACAAGTTCTTACATCCAGACGTGAAGAAAATTCTCAAAGCAAAGGGATATGACATGGTCATGCTGATTCCTTCTCGACCAGCCTTAGGCTATGACCTTGCTATAAAGATGGAGTTCGAAGAAATGGCTAGTAATTATGTGTCTAATCTCCCTAGTTTCCTGCCCATGGATGAAAGAAATCAAAAGTTTAGTTGAAAAAACAAGCCAGCTTATTTCTTGTGATAGGCGGATTTACTACATCCTTCATTTCCTTGACCAAGAATTACTCTCAGATGCTTATGTGAAATTGTCTCGATATAAAGATGTATGATTTTACTCATTAAATTTAGATAAAACTAGATGGGAAGTACAACTTTCTCCCAGTCAAGAACAACATGAACATCCTAAAGTTAGAGATGGAGGTGGATTAACTCTTTCTATGTGCCTAAATTAGAGAGGGGTTTTGGGGTTTTGGGGTTTTGGGGG